ACTCACCCGGATAATAAGTATACTTGAAATTTTTTTTTAGAGTTTTGTAAATTTCGACCTGGCCGGGTTATGAGAACCGATTTATCAAAAAGTTTGTATGGCCTTAACTTTTTTGCTTTAATTTTTTAGGCGTTTTTAGAAATCTTTTCGATGTTTTGGAGCTGTTCTCTGGTAGTTTTCTGGAAAATCTATCAGAGAGAGGCTCCAAAATGTCAAAGAGCTCTCTTCGACATCTTGGAATTGTTCTCTAGCAGTTCTCTTTGAACGTTTTGAAACTGTTCTCTGGTAGGTTTCTTAGGCATTTTGGAGCCATTGTCTGGTAGTTCTCTTTGGCATTTTGAAGCTATTCTCTAGTAGTTTTCTACTAAGCAACCTACTTCAGCTTCTATCTCTGATAAATTTCTCAATTAGGTTTGGAGTTGTTCTCTAATAATTTTCTTCGTGGGTAAGGAGTAGGTTTTTTAGAATATTTTCTGGTAATTTTCTTCACTTTAATATAATTCAGCTTCAGCTTTCTAGTTTCTTTGCCAGGTTTGGAGATTTTCCCTTGTAATTTCTTCTCCAGGTTTGGAGTTTTTCTTTCGTAATTTTCTTCGCTGGGTTTGAAGTTCTTTTCTAGTAGGTTTTTTGGAAATTTTGAAGCTGTTTTCTGGTAATTTTCTTCACCGGATTTGGAGCTATTCTCTAGTAGTTTTCTACTACAAAACCTACCCTAATTCAGCTTAGTTTCTGGTTTCTTCACCGGGATTGGGGCTTTCTCTAGCAACTTCTTCTCCAGATTTGGAACTGTTCTCTGGTAGGTTTTTTAGAAATTTTGAATTTGTTCTCTGACAATTTTCTTCATGGGTTTGGAGCTGTTCTTTGGTAATTTCTCCTAAGAAACCTACTCTAATTTATCTTAGTTTATAATAAATTTCTATTAGTTTTTTCGCTGGGTTTGTATAATTTTCTTCACCAGATTTGGAGCTGTTCTCTAGTAATTTTTTTCACCGGTTTCAGAGCTGTTCTCTGGTAATTTCTTCGCCAGAATTGGAGCTATTCTCTGGTAGGGTTTTACTAAGAAACCTAATCTAATTTATTTCAGCTTCTAATCAATTTCTATTAGTTTCTTCACC